AGACAATTACTATTGTGTGAAAGACTGGTACTGGAAATTAACTTTGCAGCAGATCTAAATTTGGTAATATTAAACAGTTTGTATATAGTTGTTGACTAAGTCTGTGCTTATTTTGGAATGTGTATCTGAATTTGACATTCAACCATCAGAAATGTAACTATGTCCCCTCTAGCTCAATACGTAATTTCACCAGAAATAGGATATACTTATGTAATAGCCTACCTACTTCTAACTTAGCTACACAGCATGCAAAAACTTCTTACAATGGTATCATTAAATACATTAATACATTAATACATTAATACATTAATCTCCAAACTAATATCTTAAGTCCAATAAATTTGAGTTGTTATGTTTTGTTAAGATTTACAAACTACAGACTGAACAGGGACCCATAACTTCTTTTAAGGGTTTTAATGCTCACCTAAATGGCTGAGTAACACAGGTACAGAGATACATATACAGATATCTACCAAAGGTCTTGGGGTCTTTGGAGGTCCCTGATGACTGGAAGATAGTCAGCGTTATTCCCATTTACAAAAAGGGCATGAGGGAAGACCCAGGAAGACTTAGTCTAAACTTAGTACCTGGAAAAATTATGGAGAAGATCACACCGGGTTGCTGTTGAAAGGCACTTAAAGAATAATGCAATCATCATGCACAGTCTACACAGGTTCGCAACGGGAAAGTCCTGTTTAACTGATTTGACAGCCTTCTATGACAAGGTCACCTGTCTAGTGGATGAAGGGAAGGAAGTGGATGTTATTTTCCTGGATTTGAGGAAGGATTAAGGATTCCTAATGGATTAAACCTGGATTAAGGCTTCTGATAGTGCCCCTCACAGCATCCTTTGGGACATGATGTCCAGCTGTGAGATGAGCAGGTTCATGGTGTGCTGGGTGAAGAACTGGCTGAAGGGCAGAGCTCAGAGGGGTGTAGTGACTGGGATTAGAGCTGGCTGGTGACCAGCCACCAGCAGTGTTCCTCAGGGTGCAGTTCTTATAACAATATCCTGTAGTTTTTATTCAGCCCTAAAGCAATTAGGCAGTTGGACGAGATGATCATTGTAGATGCCTTTGAACCGAAGCATCCGATCCTATCCTATCCTATCCTATCCTATCCTATCCTATCCTATCCTATCCTATCCTATCCTATCCTATCCTATCCTATCCTATCCTATCCTCAAAAGATATTACAAGAGCCAGAACACAACAGACAGGTTTTGAACAAGAATGCAATAATGTAATTTTGCATATATCACAGAACTGCATTCAACATACTGACACTAAAGCAATTTTATGATTTCATGTTGTGGTGGTGCATCTCTTTCATGACACTTGTCAGTGACTCATTGACAAAATATATTTTTATTTAACTGTTTGTTGCCCTTTAAATAATATAAATATTGATATAAAGAAAAGATTTACAAAACCAGAATGCCCCGGTGGCATTTGTTAGTACATTACAGAGAAAGGAACTCCAGAATTGATCAATACAATTTGGGTGACTGCAAGATCCTCTCATATACTAAGCGAATAAGCTCCTTTTTCTTGCTTCGAAAACGTAACAACGTTTCACACATCAGTGTATGTGTGAAAGGAAGAAGACTTGGTGCAACACACAAAGGCAAATACGAGATTTTTGAATTTGACTGAATTTTCAGTATGAGCATATTAAAGGCTCAGAATATTCGGAGATCAACCGAATTATTTTCGCTGAGGTGAGTTCGGTGGGGATCAGCGCAACAGCCACAGCAGCTCATGCATGGCTGGTACCCCCGAGGACAGCACTGTGCGCCCGCAGGAGGGTCAGGGCTCTCAAAAGATGCACGACATATTGGGGGTATACCGCCGAGGCACTGGCACAAGTTCCCTCCGGTCTGATCCCGCACCCGAGCGGCAGCACACCGCCGTTCTCGGAGGGCACCCCGTCCCGACCGGCCGCTGCCAGGCTTCCCTGGGGGCGAGCAGCACTCCAGCCTCTAAAGACTATTCCACAAACGTGAACTACCCATCCGGGTACCTCTGGAATGCCTTTTTCCCAGCGTAAAGCCTTTTCCCAAAGCAGTGATGACTCCCTCCTCCGCACTCCGTTCCTCCCCCTGGCCGGTGCCCGTGAGGCGGCACCGCGCAGACCTCGGGAGGGCGGAACGCCGCGGGGCCGTCCTATCCCCGCCGCGGGGCCGTCCTATCCCCGCCGCGGGGCCGTCCTATCCCCGCCGCGGGGCCGTCCTATCCCCGCCGCGGGGCCGTCCTATCCCTGCCGCAGGCGGGCTCTGCTACCCCACTCCCGCCCGGCCTGGGCGGGGCGGCTCAGCTGCCTCTTTCCTGTTTCCGCTCGGAACCCCGGAGACGTCCAGGGCCGCGGTATCGCGGGGGCCGGAGGAGGGAGGGTGGGGCGCGGCACCGCTGCTGGCGTGTCGCCTCCCGCTCACGGCCCGTGTGTTCTTTCTGTAGGGACCTCGGCGCCGCCCTTGCGCCGCTCGGCAGGCCCGGAGCGTGCCCTGGGCCCAGGTGAGGTGGAGCCGGCCAGGACAGGGCGAGGGGAGCGGCGGGAGGGACGGAGGGGTCGGTCCAGTCGTTCGCAGGGGAGACGCGGTGGAGCCGACACCGCCGCCGGGTTTCTGTTTTCCCGGCTACCGCCAGCTTAGTGTCTGAAGTGCTGCCCGGGCTCCCTGCCGTCCCTAGTGAAACCTATGGAGAGAGAAACCAACCGGGCTGGCTTTCCTTCTTTTCCAGAGAACCGCAGACCGTACTCTTTTTTTCGATTTAGCAATTTATTCTTGGTAGTATCTGCAGCTCTATTGGATGGAATGCCTAATTCTTTTATAAACGCTGAACTTTAAGGTGTAGTTAGTGCTTTGTGTTACGCTTTCACATACCATGCACTACTTTTAACTTCTAGCAAAAATGGGCTTGCTCTTTGATGACAATTTGTATTAAAACGGTATTTGCTGTCAGAGAATTGTTAGGGATCACAGAATTGTTAGGGTTGGAAGGGACCTCTGGAGATCATCCGTTCTAACGACCCTGCCAAAGCAGGGTCACCTGGAACACGTCCAGTTGGGTTTTGAATGTCTCCAGAGAGGGAGACTCCACGACCTCCCTGGGCAGCCTGTTCCAGTGCTCTGCCATCCTCAATGCAGAAATATTCTTCCTCAGGTAGAGGTAGAACTTCTTATGTTTTGTTTTCATGTATGTGTGCCTTTATTTTTCTGAGTACTCAGAAATTATTTTTTTTTATTATTCCATGGGGTTTTCCCAATAGAAGAACAGAAAAGATGTTCGATATTAAGGCTTGGGCTGAGTACATCGTGGAGTGGGCTGCAAAGGACCCCTATGGCTTTCTTACCACGGTGATCTTGGCCCTTACGCCGTTGTTCGTGATCAGTGCAGCACTTTCATGGAAGCTTGCAAAAATGATTGAGGCCAGGGAGCGAGAGCAAAAGAAGAAACAGAAACGCCAAGAGAACATTGCAAAAGCCAAACGAACAAAGAAGGATTAAATGGGCAAAAATGACCTGCCGTGCGCAAAGAATCCACTTTTTAAATGAAAAACTTGTATGTTTTGTGTTGTAACTGTCCTTTGATACTTGATCCTGTTATTTCTTGAAGTATGAAATTTAATACTTTGAGTGTATTTTTTTTCCTAATGATTTGTGTTCAAATTTGCCCAAGTGACACTTATTAAATCTACTACTTGTGGTTTCTAGTGCAGGTTGCTTTTCTAAATTTGCATGTTATGTTAAAAAATTACCCTGTTGCGTGACTCTGGAGGTAATTTGTTTTTCCCCTTAGCTGAGCTATGACTTAACAAGTGTCTTAAAGTTGTCAAATTTAGGGGATTACAGAAATGCATGTTTTGGCATACCTTCAGCAGAGCCGTAGAGATAACTGTAGCTTAATTAGATAGCAGAGATGACTGATTTCCTTTAAGGACACTGTATATGGCTGCGTGTGCCTGTAATGGCTGCTGCAGTGTCTTTGATGGTGGGGCTTCCCTGCAAAAATAACCTACCTTAGCTCTTCCTGTTTCCTGAACTACCAGCCATGAACAGCCTTTAAATTCAGCCCAAACTCTAGGAAACTGCTTGTTCTTGTTTGCTTCATTTGTCTTAAGGCACTCATCATGTTCTACAAAATTCAGTACTATGTTGTTTGGTCTTTCCTAACAATCACCTGTAACTAATTTGTTTCTGCCTTCATACATTCTTCACGCCTCAAAGAATAGCCATAAACAGGGTGAGACCAAAGACCCAGCTGGCCTAGTGTTCTGTGTCCTAGTGACCTATAGCACATGGCTGTGGGAGGACAGTGCACATGCTGGTGACAGTAGTTCTTCCTACTTTCTGACCTGGCTACCTTTGATCTAGGACCTTTGAGTTTAGGTGGAATTCTTGTTCTCATAGCCCTTGAAACTCTGCTGCCTTACAGGTTGCAAAATGCTGGTATACTGGAAGAAAAAAAAAAAAGGCTTGTGTAGGAAACATGCCAAAATTATTTAACCTTATTTCCAATTTATGTTTCTTAACAGAACAGATTAAATTTTCAAAGGCCTCTACACGGTCTAGTTCAAAAGACCTTGTGGCAGTCATTAAGTTTTTCTATTTTGCGTATATCTAAACAAGCAGCACAGAGTTGTGCATTTCAGGAGATAGTCTTTGATTATGTTTAAAAATAAAACCTTAAAGTAGTACCATTGTTCAAATGAATAGACCTACAGACCTTGCTGACACCAAGGGGGATCAGAAGTGGGGAGTCTAACTGAAATTACTTAAAGTAAATGTGAAGTTGATCCCCTTTCAATTTTGTTGGTGAAAGCAAGCATTAATAGAATATGACATTTGGGCATTTTATAAATATGTGAGATTATGTCTCCATGTTTTGTATGAAGTGTTGTCAAATATATATGTGTTCCACCTTTGATACCTACACGGCTTGAAACACGGGGAGGAGAACTGATGAGGGATAAACTCCATAAATAAATTTGATACTTTTTGAAAAAAAAATTGTGTGGTCTTTATTCGAAGTTCTCAAACATCCTCTCTAAGCAAATAATCCATACATTTTATGTATCTAAACTGTGGCCAAAATGATCTAATCGTTCAGGGAAGTCCATGGATATACCAGAAATAAAAACTAATTTTATTTTTTTTCTTTAAATATTCATGACAGTCCCTTGTCCCAAACCTCGTATTATTTTGCAGCAGCTTTATAAAGTACTTCCAGCCTCTATTATAGCAGCTATATGTAGTTTAACTGATTTTATCCTGTGCAAATTGCTGGCTTAAAATCAAACATTCAGATATGTTGACTGTTTTCTTCAAGTTACAAGAACGTCTCTATGATGAATACAGTGTGTAATCAGTGTTGTGTCATAGTGATTCCTGTCAATGAAATCAGCTTTTCCATCTGCTTGCCAGTGGAGAGCAGACTGGCACTGACAAGGGAGTTATTGTAAAGAGGTATCTTGGCCAAGGTTTGGGAAAATGTAAGCGTACCAACCATTACATCAGAAACAATTTTAAAAATAAATTAGTATTCAAGGAAAAAACAATTTAGACTTATTTAGGGAAATTAAGTTAGACAACATTCTAACTGAATTCAAGACTAAATGATGAACAGCAACTGTCAAAACCAAACTTAGTAACACATCTTGTTTTTCACTAAACCCAAACATTTTACATCAGTTTTTCCTGATTAAACCCATTTGAATAGTTCTGCAAAGGTAAATTAAACTGCTTTAATACCACTTCATTGCACACTTTCATGTAAAGCTCTTTATACTGTCTGTTAAAACATTTATCCATGAGCAATATCTGTACAATACAATTGTTCATTTATTTTGACTACTACCACTGCCTGGTGGCATCCAGGCACCAGGCTGGAAGGTATTTGCAGTGCTTGTAGGATCTTCCGAAGGCTCCTCCTTTCCATAGTAAGGGGCAGATGCATGACCTTTAACCTGAGTATGACCTGGTTCAGCAACAAGTCCCTCCTTGTATTCCTTGGACTGAAGCAGCTTATCCTTTTCAGATACATCTTTTATTTTCTGTTTCATTTCTTCTCTATAATTTTCATTCCTAAGAATCTCCTAAGAACAGAGTAGAAAGATAATTAGATGATTCACAAGCCAATCCAATACTAAATGTTGTAATAAAACATTTTAAACAGTCGTTGCTTTTCTTAACTTTATAATCCCCATTTTCAGATATTTAGATAAAATGTGGCAAAATTAATTGGTTTTCCTCAACCTCAAATTCAACGCTTTTTTAGAATGTTCTTAATATTTTGATCCTATTGGTGAAGCAAAATTGCATTGTGGTGTCCATTTCACTGTTCTATTGGAGCAAAAAGAAGAAATTAAGAAATCAGGTATAGTCATCAACAAATGTGAAAATACATTAAAAATAAGGCTACCTCTTGCATTGTTTTCTGTGTAGGACTCGATACTTATAGCTATTTATCACTTGCATCTCTTCCTGTAATTCACTGTGCCTGTGGTATTAGGTATCTGTGCCACAGGGCACAGCTTTGCGAGAAACAGATGTGCAACCTTGACTCTGCTAGTGCATAAGCTGAAGACACGCAAGATTAATAAATAAATACCTAAAATCATAGAATCACAGAATGGATCAGGTTGGAAGGGACCACAGTGGATCATCTGGTCCCACCTCCCTGCCCATGCAGACTCATCCTAAAGCACATTGCACTGCATTGCATCCAGACAGTTCTTTAATATCCTCAGTGAGGGAGACTTCCCACTTTCTCTGGGCAATCTGTTCCTGTGCATAGTCACTTGCACAGTAAAGAATTTCTTCCTTGTATTCAGGTAGAACTTCCTGTACATCAGTTTCTGCCCATTGCCTCTGGCCCTACAGCTCAACACCACTGAGAAAAGCCTGAATCCATCCTCTTGGCACCCTCTCTTCAGATACTTGTATACATTGATGAGGTCTTTTCTGACTTGTCTCTTCTCCAGGTTGAATAGGCCCAGCTCCCTCAGCCTTTCCTTGTGAGAAGCTCCAGTCCCTTAACCATCTTTGTCACACTCTGCTGAACCCACTCCAGGAGCCCCATGTCTCTCTTGCAATGAGGAGCTCTGAACTGGACACAGCACTGCAGGTGAGGCCTCACCAGGGCTGAGTAGAGGGGCAGGATCACCTCCCTCAACCTGCTGGCAGTGCTCTTCCTACTGTACCCCAGGATATCATTGAGCTTCCTGGCCACAGGACCCACTGCTGGCTCATGGACAGCTTGTTGTCCACCAGGACCCCCAAATCCTTCTCTGCAGAGCTGTTTTCCAGCAGGTCAGCTCCTAGCCTGTACTGGGTTATTCTTCCACAGGTGCAGGACCCTGCAGTTGTCCTTGTTGAATTTCAGACAGTTGTTCTCTGCCCTTCTCTCCAACTTGTTGAGGTCCTTCTGAAGGGCTGCACAGCTCTCTGGGGTATTGGCCACTCCTCCCAGCTTTGTGTCATCAGTGAACTTGCTGAGGAGGCATCTGCCCCTTCCTCCAAGTCATGGATGAACAAATAATAAAATACTGGGCCCAGTACTGAACCTCATCACTAGTGACAGGCCTCCAGCTAGACCCTGTACAATTGCTCACAACCCTCTGGGATCTGCCATTCAGCCAGTTCTCAATCAACCTCACTGTCCACTCATCAAGTCCACATTCATGAGTTTCCGTATGAGGACATTGTGAGAGACAGTGTCAAAAGCCTTGCTGAAGTAGAGGTAGACAATATCTACTGTTCTTCCTCATCCATCTAGGTAGTTGTTTCATCGGCAATTGGGTTGGTCAAGCATAATTTACCTTTAGTGAATCCATGCTGACTACTCCTGATCACCTTTTTGTTATTCACGTGGATAGAGATGACCTCCAGAATGAAGAAAAAGACTGAATGCTTTCTTAAGATTACAAGTATATGACAGAGTTAAGGACAAAATAGACCAGTACAGTTTGCTCTCTGAGCAGAACACCATTGCATTATTTTAGGAATGGTGTTAAAAAATACATGTGATGTTGCCAAGAGTTGACACAGCAACTTTGAACACCTAAGAATGCTTTAAAAGGCGGTATTTAAAAAACCCTTACCTTAGAGGTATCATGGAAATACCCCTTTTTATTAGTTCTTAATTGCCTCTGTACTTAAATTCACATATGCACAGAGCAGGTGCAGAACTCTTCATATACCTATACTGCACGGAAATATACAAGCACACAAATGACTTTGCAAACTGAAGGGGTGGAGAAAATTCTCCTCTACTCCAATAAAAATATTGCCAAGTGTGGGAAGATCAAATTTTCAACAGTCAGTATGGCAAAACCTCATTGCAATGTCTCTCAATTCTATCCTTGTTTACCTCATGCCCATATAAATCTACCTCCTCCTGACTGATTTAAAGGGGATTACTCCTATCGTACTTGTATTAACCCACTACCAAGAAACAAGGTCAAATACGTTTGTGATATCTGAAGACTGCATCACAGCCTCTGCTAAAACAACATGAAATTATTTATTAAAATACAAATGTAATTTCCTTTCTTTGAACAGCTACTTTCTCATTTAAAATCTTTTCAAGTGATTACTTTAACATAAAGTTATCTTAGTCAGGTAAGAGCAGCTGTAACTAAATTCCAAATGCTCCGAGTCCATTTTAAATCTTGATGTATAATTATCTTCTAGTTTTCCAACTTCAGTAAGGCTATTTTAATCAGCTTTCACTGGACAAAGTGTAGTTCTGATCTAGTAAAATAACCATGTGAATCTTGAAAAAGAGAAATTATCCTTATTAGCAAACATAGGAAAAAAAAACCCTGAAGTGACTTGTTTAGAATTTTCTATACAATCCATACCAGAACAAAAATTTTTTAAGTTTTAAATATCTGCACACCTCCTTTTTAGGCATTAAATTCATGCCACTAATATGTACATTGAATTCAGTGGGTTCCTGGGTTCAATTTAAAGAAAATATGAGTTGGAAATCTTGAGTCATTGGGCATGTTAGAAAAATTGAGTCAAATAGATGAGTTTTCTTATCATAAACACATTGTCCTTTGATGCTGGCAAGTTCATTTTGTGGATTCTCTCACAGGCACTGAGTCCTTTCTATTTCTAATATTATCACCAGAAAATACATTATTTTCAATTCTCACTAGAACATATAATTTTTTTTTAAACATTCTGATTCTGTTTCTAAATATCATTGGTTCAGTTATCATAGCTGCTGCAGTCTGAAGCAGTTATGACACTGAAATTTCCCTGCCAGGACAGGTATTTAAATAAAAGATCCAAGTAGGTCCAAATCTGAATATGATAATCAACTTTGTTCAAAATGCAAGTTTGCATGCATATTTGTTGAAGGAATTATCCTTAAAACACTAGAAATATGCAGGATCTTTATAACTAATCTTCCAGATTTGCCTTCAATTTATCTGCATGGCAATTAAATATAGTGAGAGGTAGAAAGGTTCCTCCCCAGACACCCTCCTATCACCTGGACAGTGGAAGAGGAATTGACATCTGCGGCGCTCTTCTCCCCAGGACAAGTAGTCTGTAGATGTGTTTGGTACCACAGGTTTCTCCAACTCACCTGCACACCATCACACTCTCACTTTGAGGCTCCATTACAACCCAATCCTTTACTGTTTGATATACTATGAAAAGTAACAGAGAGCTAAATATTTGTGCATTTTCTGTTTGGTTGTTTTTTTTTTTATTTTTTCCTTGAAGTTATACTGTCAAGTTCAGAACATTTATCTTCTCTCCTTCTCCAAGATGAATCACAGTATTTCATAAGATGGCTGGCTTCACTAAAAAGTGCCCCCCAAAACATAGCAATTAATTTTCTGCTAAAATGTAAGCACATGAACATGTAATGTGCTCTGACCTTCAAGGGAAAACAGAATTAGTCTATCCATCCCAGAGAACATAGTATCTTCCAGATAGCTGCAATTTTCTAAGGAGTAGCTTCTTTTTCTGACACTCTCTTTTTGTACAAATAAATGATGTAAGCCCTTTGAACCAGTAGTTCTCAGGAAGCACTCGGCATCTAAAGAGTATCAGAAATGTCCTTCATTTTGATGAAAAGAGAAAACTAAGGAGTGGGGTTATGCTGCAAAACTAAAAAATGAAAAATGCCTTAAGACATCCAGCCATCATGTGCCAACAGTTACATCCAACTACATGTTCTAAGGTTTATTTTTAGATGGAAAGTAAAAGAAGACTCGTTGCAGGTAACTAAGCTGGTGATTATTCTAAGCTGTATGAGGTTTTTAATCCTTCTGATGTTTGGAGCTGCATGTCTTCCCTCCTAAGGAAGGCAGAGTTTAAGAAAGTTATGTCTAAGGTTTTCTTGAAGATACCAAAGGAGATACCGAAGTGGCCCTATGTGGAGTTTGAAGCAGCTGCTTTTCATCCAGAAACTGACAACTTCTGCATATTCTGACATTTTAGCATTGATAACAGCTGCATGAAAAAAGAATGAATATGGCCTGCTCATGGGGGCAACACACCCCAAGACATGTTGCTGTCTTCCAAGTGCATTGCTGCAAAAGGCATCAGGCTGTATTTCCTGCCACTGGATGAAATCTTCACTTTTCTTGAAAACTCTGTTTTCATTTAGCACTCTTGCTTAATTATGGCAGCTGAGATGTATCACCAAGTATCCCCTGCTGCCTGGAAACTGTATTCACCTCCACTCCATAGATAGAGAAAAATCTAGAAGTTTGTCTCTAGTGAAAAGGATTTTCACTGCCTACCAGGCTGTACTGGAAGACCTGCTTTGTAGGGTGAACATTTGGAATGCAGTGTTCTTTCACTCTTAAAGGATCTTATATTGTCACTTCTTCTCCTTTTGTGAATAAACTAGTAGCTTTACAGAATAAATAAAATTAATTCCTCCTAGCAGGAAAATGTCACAAAACAAAAGAGGGTTCTCTAAACTTACTCATTCTTTCACCTGGGATCTTGCTTGTGAGTGACTAGCCTTTGCTGGACACTTCTCCACAGGTAAAAGCCTGTACTTAATAATTTCTATCCTGCAGCACCTCCTGAACCCCACAATCGGAGGAAATATTCCTCCCCC